TTATGAAAGAGACACAATACCATGATGGACAATCAACAACGCATAACATGAACAATCAATCGCGAATCAGCAAAACAGACCCTGCGTCGATCAACACACACATACGGTGTCGATCGATGCAGTCTCAGTGTGTCGATCGACACGCAACCTCGTGTCGATCGCCGCACACTGTGTCGATCGACACAAAGCAACTGCGTCGATCGACGCACGATGCAAAACCGAGGAATCGAACCTCTCATCTCACAGATCGAATCCTGATCGCATCGATTCGATCTCCTCCATAAATCCACCAAAAACACAACACGAAATCCACCAAACAAAACAAACAATCGCATCCTATCTATTCATTTACCCATATAAGTCATGGCCACGCACTCACCTCGAATCTGGAAGCAAAATGAAGAAAGAAATTCACGAAGAACGCGAAGAACACGAAGAACCCAACCCACCAGAAACGATCTCCAGAGCCTCACAAACACATACAAGAGCTTTTAGGATCAAGAACTCGAAGAAAATCATCAATGATTCTTCCTTTTCTCTCAAATCCTCTCACAAAACTCACTGTATGTGTTTTCTGAAAACTTTCTGGAACTAAAAGTTCTGACAGAAATCGGCCACAGCCCTTATATAGGGAATCCCTAGGGTTTTCCCCTAAACCGAGCAGAACCGATGACTCAAATCGAACCAACCGGTTCAATTCATAACCTGCGTCGATCGACACACACCCCTTGTGTTGATCGACGCACGACCAAAATTCACAAAATTTGGTTCGCGGTCATTACAAATCTCTCGGATCTCTTCCGACTGTCTTTTTCTCATCTGTTTATTTTCCTCTCTTTTTCTCCTTTGTTCATTCACTAAATTTCCAGATACTCTTCGGGCCACCCTCGTTCGACTCGGAGTCACCATCTTTCTACAGTATTCCGATTATTTTCTCTTTTGACTTTGTTCGACCCATTATGGTCTCTCTCTCTCTCACATTTGACCTCCATTCTGACTTGAATACCAGAGCGTCGTCAGAAGACACACCCATCATGTTTTCCGAAGACTTTTACATGTTTGTTGACTGTACAGAAAATGGACCCCATTGGATTTTTCAAAGGACTAAAATCCTCTAAAATAATTATTATCACATATGTCAACCAAAACATTTACTTTTTTATAATGCTAAATTATGGACATGCATATATGGGGGTTCTATAATTTAATCTCTTATAAACCTT